ATGGGCTATCTTCTTGAGCCAGTACAACATTGACATCCGTCCAAGGCCTGCCATCAAGGGCCAAGCCCTAGCGGACTTTGTGACGGAATGTACCGCAAGGGCAGCCACGGACGGGAAGCCCTCGGCTACCTCGGACGACTGGTGGACCCTCTACACTGATGGCTCCTCCGCGACCAAAGCATGCGGGGGAGGGGTAGTCCTCATTACTCCCGAGGGCTTCAGGGCCTACTATGCAATCCGCTTCTCCTTCAAAGTCTCCAACAATGAGGCCGAATATGAGGCCCTCCTATGTGGCCTTCGGCTGGCTGCCAACATGAGGGCTCGGCAGATCCACATCAAATGCGACTCCAAGTTGGTCGTTGGCCAAATCTCCGAAGAATATGAGGCCAAGGAGGGAAGAATGAAACAGTACAAGGAAGCGGCCAAGGAGTTGCTTAAGGTATTTGAGGCACACTCTCTTACTCAAATACCGAGGGCTCAGAACTCCGAGGCCGACATATTGTCTAAGCTCTCGGCTGACTCCCCCGAGCACATCTCCAAAATTGCCAAAATCGAGGAACTCAGCCTCTCAAGCATCCATGCGAGCCCCGTTATGAACATACAACAACGACAGGAGGATTGGATCTCAGATATCACTGCCTTCATCTCCACAGGGCAGCTACCCGAGGATGAGGCCCGCGCTAAACTGGCAAAACTAAGGGCTCCCAGCTACACCATCGAAGATGGGAGGCTCTACAAACGAGCTTACAATGGCACGCTACTTCGGTGCCTTCATCCAGATGAAGCCGAGGTCGCAATGGAGGAAGTGCACAGTGGCACTTTCTCAGCTCACCAGGGACCCTTCTCCATGTCCCGAAGGCTCATTCTCCAGGGCTACTTCTGGCCAACCATGGCCAGGGACTGCGCTGACCTTGCCTGGAGGTGCACCGCATGTCAACATTTCCAGAAAGCTCCCGGCAGGCCAGCGGTCAACTATGCCCCCATCAGCACCTCTGTCCCATTTTCTCGATGGGGGATAGACCTTGTGGGCCCTCTGCCGAGGGGTACCTCCAACAACAGATACATCATTGTGGCCGTCGACTATTTTACCAAGTGGGTGGAGGCTGAACCCCTCGCCAGCATCACAGAGGCGAAGTGCCGTCACTTCGTCCTCAAGAACATCCTCACAAGGTTTGGCGTCCCCTAGCAGATCATCTCCGACAATGGAACACAATTTGAGGCAGCCCCCTTCTGTGCCCTTCTGGAGGCATGGGGCATCAAACACACCTTCTCCTCCGTTGCCTACCCTCAAGGCAACGGGAAGGTAGAGAACGCCAACCGGACCTTGCTCGAGGGCCTCAAAAAGAAGCTGGAGGCTGAGGGTGGTGGCTGGGTGGAAGAACTTCACAACATCCTCTGGGCCTACCGCACTACCCCTCGGCGCACTACAGGTGAAACACCCTTCTCCCTCTGCTACGGTTTTGAAGCCAAAGCTCCTACGGAAGTCACCCTTCCTACCCGAAGGGTGATCCAATACGACCCCGAGGTCAACGACAGCAACATGGCCCTCGACCTCCACCTCATTTCAGAACGCCGGGAGCAGGCCTTCATCCGGGCAGAAAACTACCGAAGGCAAGTTAAATGCTACATCGACGCCAAAGTTCGCACCCGAGAATTTCAAGTGGGGGACTATGTCCTCCGGAGGAGGGAAGCCAGCCTACCAACCGAGGGAGGAAAAATGGCACCAAAATTCGAAGGCCCCTACATCATAGCAGCCATCATCAAACCCGGGACCTACAAGCTCAAACGCCCCAATGGGAAAGAAGTCCCTAGGCACTGGAATGTACACCATTTAGTTAAATTTTATCAATAATGTAAGAGCGGCCAAGCCCTCATAACTAGTGAATGTACTATCCTATGGCCCAAGGCCTCCAATTTCGAAGAATGAAGATACATTCAAGACATCAAGCCCTCATACTGACTACAAGCCCCAGGCCTCACCACGAGAAGAACCCCCTCCGGCACCAAGTGCCGAGGGAGGACACCATCAACACCTACAACAAACAGTGAAAACACCACGTGTTTTCAGTCAAGACCCCTCGGTACCCAGTGCCGAGGGTACATCCCCAACTTCAACATAAAAAAAGAAAAGATGAGAACACCAAGTGTTCCTACAGAAGACCCTGCGGCACCCAGTGCCGAGGGTACATCCCCACCTTCAACATCAAAAAAGAAAAGATGAGAACACCAAGTGTTCCTACAGAAGACCCTTCGGTACCCAGTGCCGAGGGTACACCTCCATCATCAAACATCGAAACGAAGAAAAAACACCAAGTGTTTCAAAGAAGACCCCTCGGCACCCAGTGCCAGGGAGATGCTCTCCTATCAACTTCCAAACATCTATTGGGAAACACCAAGTGTTTCATTTGAAGGCCCTTCGGTACCAAGTACCGAGGGTAGACACCTCCATCAACTGCAACAAAGGAGAACACCAAGTGTTCCTACAGAAGACCCCTCGGTACCAAGTACCGGGGGCTACACATCGAAACTAACACCAAGTGTTGTTTCTAAAAGCCGTACCCCACGAGGACGCATATACCGAAGGCGCCACCATCGGTGCCGGCGGCACGTAGTGCCCCCGGCCATTTGCAACTAGTGTGCAAATGAAAACCCTTCCTTGAAACGCTTTCCGCGTCACTACCCCCAGGGTATGACAGGCATGAGAAATGCCCAGGATTCGACTTTCAAAAACGGAACGCTATCCGCGTCATTACCCCCAGGGTATGACAGGCATAAGAAATGCCCAGGATTCGACTTCCAAACCGAAACGCTCCCCGCGCCACCACCCCAAGGGTGTGGCAGGCCACAGACTATGTCTAGCGCCGAGGGGACGACTTTCAAAAATGAGGCGCTTTCCGCGCCATCCCCCAAGGGGAGGCAGGTTACGGACCACCATATCTTGTGCCCAGGAAACGTCCCTCGATCCCCTCGGAACTCGGAAGGTTAAACCGAGGGAGGAGAGCCATTGGTGTATTCTGATGGTCTCCTAATAGGCCCAGCCTTACCAAGAAACCAAGTTTCTTGATGCCTTCCCTTCACCACCAACCAAAAAAAAAAAAAAAGGGGGGGGGGGGGGGGGGGGGGTGAAGGGGAGTAGACTCAGCGAGAAATCAAAGAGTACACTCCAACAAAATCACAACATGCCGAGGGCTCCCCACGGGAACACCTCCGGTAATTGAAGACTCCTATTTCCCGAAGGATACTACTCAAAGAAATATCATCAGGAAACGGCTAAATCCACTACCTAGTCACCTCCGGTCACAAAAACACCGAGGGCTTCAACAATACAAAGGGACTGGACTATCCAAGGTCCACTAAACGGTACTTCAAAAAAAAACCGAAGGCATCTGTTACGCACAAATATCGAGGGCCCTTTTCCCATGACAAGGGTCAAATTCTACAACTTTTAAAGTGCATGCCGAGGGCACACACTCCTCATTGGCTTTCTTCACAACAACGGGACTCAACATCAATTTATGCTTAGAACAAATTCTAAGTCCTGAAGGAGCAGCCCCCGGGCATCTCACAAAGTAATGTAGAGTCAAAAGGCACCTATCACCCGAAGGCTACACAAAGAAACAACACTTAAAAAATTCCGAGTCCCAAAATTGGACCCCCGGCTCAATCAACACTACAGCAAGGGGAATACAATGGCCGAAGGCCATGCAATACAACAACACTTAAAAAAGGGTATTCTGTCCTAAACGAGTAGCCCCCGGGCATCTCGCAAAGTGATGTGGAATCAGAGGGCATCTATCTCCCGAAGGCACCCAAGGAAAATCCACACTTAGAATATTTTCTAAGTCCTACATGTTTTCCCTGGTCAACTACTCATACATCAAGGAGGGATGCCATCTCCCGAGGGCTCCCAAAGGAGATTTTGCACTTAGAAGATTTTCTAAGTCCTACATGTTTTTCCCTGGTCAACTACTCATACGTCAAGGAGGGATGCCATCTCCCGAAGGCTCCCAAGGGAAAATCCACACTTAGAATATTTTCTAAGTCCTACATGTTTTCCCTAGTCAACTACTCATACATCAAGGAGGGATGCCATCCCCCGAAGGCTCCCAAGGGAAAACCCACACTTAGAAGATTTTCTAAGTCCTACATATTTTTCCCCCGGTCAACTACCCATACATCATGAAGGGATGCCATCTCCCGAAGGCTCCCAAGGAAAACTCTACACTTGGAAGATTTTCTAAGTCCTACATATTTCACCCTCATCTCAAGGGGCCTAATTGCCGAAGGCTACCTATCAATCGAGGGCTACAGTACACAAGGAATCAACACTCCAGAAAAATTTCTAAGTCCTAAAGAATTGGCCCCCGGCCTGTTCAATATTTCAGGTGAGGTTCCACAGTAGCCGAAGGCTACATGACATACTACACTTGCAAAAAATCTCTAAATCCTGTGCATTGGGCCCTCGGTCCAACATTCACACATCAGGAAGGGAGGCCATATCCCGAAGGCTCCCAAGGGAAAATCTACATTTAGAAATTTTTCTAAGTCCTAGGACTTGGATTACTGCAAACACCCGAAGGCCCTAATGTGTGCTACACTTAGAAAAATTTCCTAAGTCCTAATTGCTGCTGGACCCTTGATTGCATATCCAGCAGAGGGTGCCCAACTACCGAAGGCTCCTAAGGGCTAGCTACAATCAGAAAGTATTCTAAGTCCTAAGACATACATTCAAAGAAACAAACACATACATTCAAAAATACCGAAGGCATACACTCAAGGAAAACGGAGGCATACATTCAAGAAGAATGGAATTGAAGGGAACAAGTCGTATAAACACAGCCCGAGGGCAATCATGCATTCATCAAAAACGAAGTAAGTGTGAGATTTACAAACGGACCGAAGCCGAAGGAACAATGTTGTTCATTACAAAACATGTTCAAAGATCTCTAAGTACAAAGTCATTCTACAACTACAACAGCATCGTTCACTGGGGCGCCCTCTGCAGCCGGCCTCGATGATGCCTCCGCTCCGGTCTCGACAGCGTCGTCCTCGGCCTCATTCTTCAACACCGTGTCCTCAAGGTCGGGCCTCTGAACACCTTCCGGGAGCGGCTCACGGACATCAGGCTGCAAGGGAGGAAGGCCATACGCCGAGGGGGAGAAGTCCTTTTGCTCAATGCCCAGATGCCGGGCCATCCTCCGGTAGATGAGGGCCTGGGTGAAGAATTCGCCGGCTTCATAGTACTCTCTGCCCTTCCGGGCCATCCATTCCCACCCAGGGCCCTCGGCCCATTCTTCAACGCAGGCCTCCACGACCGAGGACACCCACATCTTGCGCCCCTCGGCTCTCCAACCCTCGGCGACAAAGGCCTCAACGGCCTCCTCCTGAGCCTTGGCGACAGCTAGCGCTTTGGAGTCCTCGGCCTCTTTAGCAGCTCTCCTGGCAGCGACCTCAGCATCAGCCTTGCCTTTCTCTGCAGCCTCCAATTTCAAGCTCATCTGCCGGAGCTCCTCTTCTAGTTGGGCCCCCAGCTTCACCGCCTCTTGGTTCTTGAGGAGGCACTCCCTCATTCTGGCGTCTTGCTCCGCTCTGTGGAGGCGCCATTCTTGAAGCCTCCGAGCCTGTTCGCCGAGGGCTAAGCAAGCCTGCAGAACAACGACAAAAACAGTTAAAGGCAATCACACAAAAATAATCAAAGGAGAAGATGGAGAAAGCCAGGTAAACACTTACAGAGAGGGAGGAGCGGAGAATGTGGTCCTCGAGGGCCGCATCATTGTAGGCCCCGAGGGCAGCCCTATCCGTCTCAGGGGTCATACCCCTCAGGATGGCCCCCGGGTCGACAGCACCACTGGCCAAAGATGTACCCCTCGGGAACGCGACTGTGAGGATCTCAGGCAGCGACTCCTCTGCCCCTGCCGGCGTTCCACCCGGCAGCTTCTCCACCTGCACCCCGGAGGCGGGGTGCTCGTCAGCGATAATGAGCGAGGGCTCCTTCTCGGCGACATCCCCCTTTTTCGGCTTTTTGGTAGCCGGGGGGACCCCTTGGTCACTGCCTTCCTCTTGCCGGCAGCGGCATCGCCCTCGGCTTTCTTAAAGAGGGCAGTGGCGGGCTTCTGGATGCCCTGTCCCGACCCCTTCGGGTCCTGTTTCTTCAAACGAGCAAGGCCCTTTACGTTCACCATAGAGACGGGGATACCTGCACAAAGGAGACAAAGGGTTAGCCCGACGGGTCTAAGCGAAGGGACGATAACATCCAAGCAAAAAAAAAAACTAAGTACAAAATTCTAAAGCCCTCGGCTCCTACCTCCGGCCCCTCCGAAGGCCTTGTTGAAGGAAGGGTACTTTTCATCGGTCTCCCCTATGAAGCGGTACCTCCAGAACCCGAGGGTGTATAAATCCTCCTCGAGGGTGCAGTCTTTGATCGCCACGTTCTTGTTTTTCCCCTCCGGGAACTTGGCCAGCTTTAGGCCGTCTTTCTCGAGAGCGGCACTCCTGATCTTTTCGTGCCTTCGGAATCGGTCACGTAGCTCCCTCGGGAATGGGCTCTCATCCAACTTCACGTAGCACCAACGTTCCCTCCATCCTTTGTTGGAAGAAGGAGCATCGGAGAATAGTTTGAAGCGGGCAATCTGCTGCAGGTTGGCGTACCCCTCGCCGTTTTCGTGCCCCCCCCCGGCACAGATTAAAGCTCTGGAAGAATAGATCCAGGCTGGGTTTCACCCCTCGGGACTTGCAGAGCTGGAGGAACCCCGCAATGTAGGAGTGGCTGTTGGGCGTGAGTTGGCAGGGGACCAAGCCAACAAACCGCAAATATTCCCGGAGGAATGGGTGCAGAGGGAACCTGAGTCCCATGGAAACCGAAAGGACGTGAATAGCAATACACCCCTCGGGCGCCCTGGACAACACGTCGTCGGGACCTGGCTCCACCACTTCGGCCGAGGGCCCCACGTGCAGCTGAGTCACGTACAGATCTGCCATGTCGGCCTTCGACCTGATCTCGAGGGCCTCAGTGTTCAGCCAACTGTACCCCTCGGGCATGTCTACGGGCTTTCCTTGATCGACGGCCCTCTCCTTCTTCTTGGTAGCGGCCTTCTTCTTCTTCACACCGGAAACCGCCCTCAGAGGTATCGGATCCAACGGCCTCGAGCTACTGGCCTCCCCGGAACCCCGAGGGGGGAGAACAGCAATCGTAACCTTCGAGCTCTCATTTTGTGCCTCATCCTCCGCTGTCTGCCAGGCGAGGGCTAAGTCTTCATCATCGCACTCCTGCTCGAAGCCCTCGGCTTCAACCTCCGCAGTGAGTTCCTTCTGGACCTCCCGGGCCAGGGCTGCATCACCACAATCCGAGGGCTGACCACTGCTTGACTCCACATCGGAGATGCCTTCGTCCTCCATCGAGGGCGTCCTCGAGATGTCCTGAGAGTCACTCTGGGACGACATTCGCACCCTTGTTCGAGGGCTCGTAGACGGTAGTGTTTCCTAACTTTTCTATCTCCTAAACTAAGGGCACAGTACAGCTATGCTAGAAGGAGAAAGGCAGGGAGCACTGACCTCGAAAGCTGAGTTTTGACCGAAGGCTGAACTTTCTCTCTCTAGAAAAATTGACAGAGCTTCGCTAACAAGTTTATCGCACACGGAGGAATGCCTGGCCTTGGGGTATTTATAGGCGATGAATCCGGGCTTGGGCCTGGATTCCGGGCCTCCGGATGGACGCCATCATTACACACCGCCGTTTCACCCAACCGGTGACGCCGCCCACGAACAACCAGCCATCACACGCCACGTGTGCCACCCCCCCCCCCCCCCAACGGCTATATCCTGTCGTTACATATTCCAACGGCTGTATTTTCAACGGCTATATTTTGGGAACCCCCGGGTTTTCTACTTCACTCCACTTCATCAAGGATAGCCTCCGGGTGCACTCACCCAGAAGTGCCCCCGGGTTGTGCCCCACACCGCACATTACACACGCCTTCGGGATCACTCCTTCAGATCCCTAGGGCTGCATATCAGGGTACCCCTCGGGGTTTTCCCCTCAGCACCGCAAAACCGGGTAGCCCCCGGGGAGTGCCTCATTGACGGATGGCCCATGGCCCTCGGGTATCTTCATCACCACTTCATCAACAAACAGTGGACCCCCCGGTAACAGCTTCACTGCTGCCCTCATCTGCAGGCCCTCGATCCCTGGATTGAGGGGCTCCCCTTCGGCGCCACCAGGACATCAACAGCCAGCCTTCGGCTAATCAACACAGGAGCCCTCCGAAGAGAGAGCCTTCGGCATTCCCGCCATTCTCCATTTTTTACCAAGGTTTGACATTTTCGATTCATCATTGGGGGAATTCGGTGCACTCTTTTTCCCTCATTAGGATTTTTTCCCAAAGGGTTTTTCCTAATGAGGTTTTTAACGAGGCATCCCCCCAAAATGAAACGAAAAGCGTCAGCCTTCGGCCCACAACAGCAACGTAACTACTTTACTCCTTTTCACCACTTTACAAGTGCCTCAAGGAGTGGGGGACTGGAGGACCCCTTCGGGAAAATCATTAAATTACAAAATCTGTGAAATTCCAACAAACAACAAAGCAAGCCCTCAAGTCCCGACATGTGGGTAACTGAGGGACTGCCTTCGGCAGGGACATAAAAGCAACAACTCCTCACCAACTTCAGAGATCACAACGGGACAACATCAAAGGGCAAGCACAAATTACTCCTTTTCCCTCAAGTACCTTTCGGCAAAAGGAGTGAGGGACTCCTGATGGAGTATATGGCCCGGGAACCCCCGGCCCACAGACTCCTACTACTCCAGCAAAGGCCCAACAGGCCCAAAAGGCCCAACAGGCCCAATTCACAGCGCCCGGAGTACCAAGCAGTCCGCACAACGCACAGGGGTGCCTTCGGCCCCCTGGCCGAAGGCTCCAAATTCTCACAGAACGGGTTTCTCAAGCAAACTAAGAAACTGGGAGAAAACGGCGAAAACAGCAGCCCTCGGCACCAGGGGTGCCATCGGGAGGAAGAGCCCTCGGCTACTGCTCTATAGCCGAAGGCATCTCACTCGACAAGATATCCGCCTCACATGCGTACAGATCACCGTACTCTGCACAGACGTCCCATCCAACAACCGCATTAAATGCGGCCACATGCGGCTGCCAGCGCCAACCAGTTGAGGTGACCCCTCGGCCAATGAGCGCTTGACACGTGTCCCTGCCCGGCATTTATTGCTGCTATAAATAGCGCCCCATTTCCTCATTTGTAACCACGCTGAAAAATCATAACACGCTCAATACATATCGAATATACACTCTCTCTTACTTGTTTGCTCTGACTTCTCTCTAAGTTATTCCCCGTAATAACCCTTCGGATATATACCCCCGGGCAGACTATCCATCAATAATATTCCTTCCAAATTATCGAAAATTGTTATCGTTTTAATTGGATTGGTTTCAATCCCAGACCGAAGCAGATCATACAAATACATAACAATAATAAAATAGTACAAGTATTAATAATAACAACAATAACAATACTACTACTACTAATAATAATAATAGTAGTAGTAGTAGTAATAATAATAGTAATAATAGTAATAGTAGTAATAGTAATACTAATAATAATAATAACAATAATAATAACAACAACAACAACAACAACAACAATAATAATAATAATAATGACAATGATAACAACAACAACAACAATAACAACAACAACAACAACAATAATAATAAAATATGGTCTGTCTGGTTTGGTCTGTTATGATCTGATTTGGTCTGTTTTAATCTGGTCTGGTCTGATTTGATCTGTTTTGGTCTGATCTAGTCTGGGAACGGTCCAAGTAAAAACTAACCTTATTCTAAAATGAAAAAAATCAATCAATTTGTAGATGCCTAGACGGCGTTAAGTCGGCATGCACAAGTACCATGATTGCCATTTAAAAAAAAGGATGACACCTCATCCCTGAAGGCCCCCAACCCCTTATCACAGTTGTCCCCGGTACTTGCAGATGCCCTATTCATTTTTAGCATAGTAACCCCTTATCGCAGTTGTTGGGATTCGAACTCGGGACCTAACCCTTGTGGCACTCATCGCCCACACGTACCATGATTGCCATTTAAAGCATTTGAAGATGTATATTCAATCCGTACAATAGAAAAACATCACATTACAGGGTTTTAGTATGTAATAATGCAAGCAACATTACTTGAAACTTGAAGGTAGAGACATATTGTAGGAAGGATGACAGAAGAATTGAATCTGATACTTTCCTTGCTGCTTTTCAGGTCTAAACTGCAATGAAATTATTATTATTATTATTATATTGGAATACTATTCCTTTCTTGGCAAACACTAGCAAGCCTTGTTTTCATTTTTGGTGGGCAATTTGAATCTTTCAGACTTTAAAGCTTCTTGTGTTTTGACTATAAATCAGAGTGGCTTTGATTTATTCTACTATCATCACTTGGTACTTAATTTCTAGTAATTAAGTAGTGCCTTGAAATGGACAGACAACCTCAACCTCGTCTCACCCGCCGGTTCACTTCCGCCGTATACCGCCCGCCAGCTGCGCCGGCTAGGCCAGAACCTCCGGCCGCCCCACGACCACCGCTATTTCGGCCTCAGGTGGCTGCCGCATTAATCACCACTCCTACACCTCCAGCTCCTCCTCCTACGGTGGGCAATATTACCCCAGCCCCCAATACTACGGCGGAGACGGACACTAATTTCTCGCCCCCGGAACCTACGGCCACTGGAGCCGCCTCCTCTGTCGCCGTCGACCCGCCACCACTATCAAATCCGGGTGATGTTCCTAACCCCTCCGCCCCTCCACCTCCATTGCCGGAGATTGATGAACCTCCGGCCAAAACCGTTACTTTTTCATCAAGATCGCCGCCACCGTCACCGAGAAAAGAGGCCGCCGTGGATTCTGACAAAATAAATCCCGGTCTCGATCCTCCTCTGAAGCAAGCCCTTGCCCCATCGTCTGATCCGGAAACGGAGTCGGGTGGGAGAGGAAGGTTCCCGGCGGAGGAAAATGATTTGGGGGTGGTTAAAGAAGAAATAACTGAAAGCGGAGGGAGCAAGGGAATAATTTCCGAGGGCAAAGCCCAAGGGCATGAGGGTATGAGCGGGGACAGCAGTGAATCGTCAGGAAAGCGGGAAGCAAGAAAGATGAGGACGACGACCAAAGTCAAAGACAACCATCATCATCATCACCGTTCCTCAGATGCTGATAATAATTCATCCGGAACTAGCAGTATTATAACACTTGCAGGTATTTCTAATAAACAGGGCAATTATGGATTTATTGATTCATACTAATTTAAGAAAGTGATCTTATTTTTTGGACAATAAAAAGGAAAATATTCTCTCAGTCCCCTAAAATAAGTCTCACTTTCCTTTTTTGGTCGTTCCAAAAAATAATTCCCGTTTCCTTTTTTGGAAAGTTTTGTGTGGTTAATATTCGTTTACTTTTTTCTTACTTAACCATACATGTCTCTTGTGGCTGGCATATACTTACAGGAGAGAACAAAGGTGCCATAATGGAGCTTAGCCCAATGCGCCCGAAACACGGCTTCATCGGAATCCCGCTGAGGCTTCAGCAAGAAAGGGCCGACGGCGATGAGAAGGGAGGAAAGTTGTTGAAGACTGGAGAGAAGAGCAACAATAACGATGATAACCGAAAGCAGTCCCCGGCTGGAAGGACGGCATTCGTGAACAACAATGTGCAGGGAATCAACAATTCATTTCTACACGGCACATCAATCCATCATCGTGACCCCGGTGTTCATCTCTCCATTTCAAGCAAGCATGGCGGCAACCGCTACGTCAAGAATCCTTAATTCTACCTCACCACCCCATAAACTACACCGGATGACAATAAATAGCATTCATTCATTCATGAGAATAAATATAATGTGCAAATGATTTCATATATAGAGGATATTACTGAATTTTATACTACCCGTGGGATAATATTTTTACTGAATTATTAACTAGTATTTTACCCGTGGCATAATATTTTTTATCTTACGTGGTATTATTTATGATACATGACAATAAATAATACTCCGTATTTGAATGCGGATTATAATAAAAAGAAACACATATAAATTGTCACACGGAATGCTAACTACGTACTTCATATATAAATTTTATCACGACAAGACATACACATTAAAAAAGTATAAACATTTATTGGGGAATTAGAGTTGTCAAACATGCCAACCCGATCCAACCCGACTCGTGACGGGTTATGCTTTACGTGGATCGGGTCAGGCCAACTCATTTAGTGACGGACCAGAATTTCTACAACCCTAACCCAGCCTACCTAACCCACGAGGTAAACGTGCCGCCTGTGGGACAATGTATAAAAATATAAATGACAAAATTATCTAAAAGCAATTACCCAATAGTACATATTTATATTGGTAGCATATATTTATATTGACGAGTAGTAATACAGTAAATATAATATATCAAAATACTTAACACACAATACTTGTCTTACCTGTCTTAACACGGGAAACATATTATTCCCTCCGTCCCATTTTACCTATCTTATTTTTTTTTGGGGGGGGGGGGGGGGGGGGGGTTGCCCTAAAATAAGTGTCACATTTTCTTTTTCTGAAAGAAATACGTGGTCCACAATATTTCACTTTATTATACTCAAATCTCAACTTCAACTTTTACATTTTCAATCACTTTATTAATAGTTATGCCAAACTCAAATGAGACAAAAATGGAACTGAGGTAATATTATTTTGGGGAATATAAACTGTAAAGTTATGGGAAATATAATAAAATGAAAAAATAAATACGTAGCAGGAAAGTGCACTATTAAAGCAAAAGAAATACGTAGTAAATGTTTACACATTTTGAAAAAATCTTGATACACAATATTTGTTGTTACATTAGTATCTCTACCATCTTTATCACATACCATGATTAAAGAAGGTTTCCGCACGAACAAACCAACGATAAAAAAGATTGCGTAAGAAATCATTGGTGATATTAATTTTCTAATATTGTACGGAGTATCTATTTTGTCTATTTGGTCGAATTGATTGAATCTGCTCTAGAGAACCACTTTTAGCTATTATTAATGCATTTTTTTTTAATTTTATTAATAATACGTAGTATATATTTTAAAGAAGGATTTGACTTTGCATCCTTTTTTTGGGTGATATTTGATATTGCATCCCAGGCCATTTCGATTTTTCTTTGACTTTATACCTTATCACCTAACATTTTGTGAAGAAAAATTTCTGAATGAGATTGCAAAATTAAAGGATGTTTAAATGAAATGAAGTGCAAAATCAAAGTTTTTTAAAGTAGAGTGTAAAGTCCAATAGAAAAGAAGGACGCAAGGTCCAATTCAATTTTCCCTATTTTAAAGGGTTAACACCTCCCAAAGGATGTGTTTACTTCGCTGCTAAAGTCACAGTTAGATTAGTAAGAAATATGAAGTAAACACGCATGGTGCTAAAAAACCGCTTATTAATCGAAATATGTGCTTAAAGTGTCGTTACTAATCACCCCACCCTCATGTATTAATTAAACGACATGTTAAACTTTTTTAGTTTCCCGATTTATCCTTACCTCTTGCCCTCACCCCTACCTTACCCAAACCCCACCATAACCTCCACCCTCCCCCTACCCCCTACATGTTCCCCGATCCCTAACCCCTACCCTGCCCTGCCCTGCCCACCCGTCCACACCCTCGCCACCCCTACCCACCCCCTATCACCCACCTCTACCCTACCTTCCCCCCATACCCCCTACCCCATCCGACCCCCTACCAACTGATACCACCTAGATCAAAATGATTATGTGAAGAGATTGAAGACACCATAAATGTGCACAACAACCGAATGATATAGTTTACCAATCCCAATATATGCTCAAGCAATTTCTCACGTTGAGAAGACAGACAACCTCAAGCCTGCATTTATTGGAGAGCCCCTAGAAGATCACAATTAAAGAGTCATTTATCATTTCAAACGGACTATGCTATTCCCCTAACATTCAATTAATCCATCCGGTATTTTTTTTTGAAAGTAGACCATTTATTCAGCATGCAGTATAGGAATTTAAAAAGCCATCAATTATTACTAATTTGATTCTTGGATTTTATAATAAAATACATACCTCGTAGACCTAGATAAACAAATAAATTATTTCTACTTTTCCTTTTATTAATAACACAAAAATGTACAATTATGTGTCACCTAGTTAGCTTTTCTGCGCTTTAAACGCGTTTTAAACACGCACCATTTTTTAAACAAAAAAACGCGTTTAAAAAGAAAAATAATGTCAGTCTGTTTAAAAAGGAAAAAAACTCCTACTTCCCGTATAAAACGTATTTTTTTATGTATTTTACAAAACATAGAAACATGAACTGATCAATTGAATGAGCGCATTATATTCATAGGAAATCAACAATAGCTTAAAAGCAAAAAGGAAAACCTGCCCCTCGAGACCCCATGTTTTTGTATTGTTACAATGCAATTATTAAATAATAAAATTAGTTACATGGCGGCTAAAGTTAGCTTTATAAAATACCAAAACTTGAAATACTATTTGATTTATTATGTTTTTCCAATCAAGCATATAATATCAAAATTAAGATAAAGATAATGATTTTAACTTAGTCTCATTCTATTGTTATTATGCCTCATTTTTTTGACTTTATTTTTCAAAATTATGTCCTGGACTTGATTACTATTTTTATTTTCATCGTCGACTTATGCAATACGAATTATTCTTTCATGTGATAATGAGATTTGCTACTTGAATATATGTGTATAGTTTTATTTCTTTTTGCTATATATCTTAATTTGTGAAGTATATACTTTAATTGTTCAAAATAATACCCCGTATTTTTTGTCCGATTTTTTGTAACATTTACCATATTCACACGTTTTCTAAAAGTCAACGTATTTTTCAACGAATTTTTGACCGACTTTTTCATTCTTGTTATCGAATAAAACGCTTACGTATTAAACCCCGTTTAATTCTCGTACTGTATTTAACTAATTAATAGACACATCAAGCGACAACATTGATAATTGTGATATTTGAACCATTTATGTAATTATTTTATTGAAGTTCAGTAAAATAACAACTGCTTTTTTTAAAATTGTGATAGTTTCCTTTTTTATCCAAAGTATTATCTTCAATAAAGCGTTTTTATTTAAATAATACTCCATATTTGACATATATGATCTTCCCCTAACATTCAATAAATTCATGTAAATAATTATACTACTCGTTTGAGTTGGGTCAAAGATAATGGTTGGGATCTTGTGGACGTGGAGTCGGATTCCTTGGGGGCTGTTTCGGAGATTATGCAGGAGTCGAGCAGTGCTTTAGCGGGGATTATTGCAGCGAACAGGACGGCTCATGAATTGGCTAGAGCTGCATATTCTTTGTCTGATTGTGTTTGTTGGATTGGTTCTCCTCCTAGATTTACTTCTCATGTACTCCCTCCATTCTTTTTTAGTTGCAACGGTCAACATTTCACATTTGCCAACTCACGTCTTTGGTCGTAATTATATCTTAATTCTATTAGTAAAACAATATTAAAAATCAGATTTTGAAAATTTGTAATGAGATGAATTGAATACTATTTTTTAAAAAAATAATTTTCTTAAAATAATAGCGTAAAATGAATTCAAAGTAGAACATGTGAATAGTGTAAAATTCAACATGTTGCGATTAAATCGGAACGGAGGATAGTACTAAACATTGATTCTATGAATGAAAGTTAATCATTTTCCTTTCAAAAAAAATTATACTACTGGTTTTATACATGTTTTATTATTTGATGTAAATACTCCGTGGAGTAGTATATGTAATAATTTTTTTCAGTATACACACACCAACCGGTAAAATGTATCATTGTGCAAATTTGTCCCAAGTATTATCTAAAATAAAGCTATTTTACTTTGACAAAGGTAAAACTCTTTATACTTCAATTGTAGGATTTAAACAATTCCTCTTCAATAATTTACCCGTGTTTTTATGATCACATATATGTATACACAGGGATTTAATTTAATACCTCTTCTCTTGAGAAATCTTGTTTGATTAGTGAGATATCCAAAAGTCATACGCAATTTTTACATTTTTTTAAAAAGTGATGCTTATTCTTTACATCTTTATCACATACTCCGTATACAATATCACTCAACCCAATTATCGACTGAATCTGCTCAATTGAAGACGCATTTATGCATGTGTGTTATTCATAATATATCTTTTATAAATGAATTCTATTAGTTCAACGTTTTAGTCCATATCTTTAGGTCAACAATATAAAACCAAAACAATACATACATGGATTTGTTTAGTTTATATGTTTTCTTTTAGAATATTTGTTTGTCATGTTATCTTGAATTGTATTTGATGGTTATCCTTTTTTTACTTTATAAAAGGCGCCTAAATTAAAGTAGACTAATTATTATTACATATATAAAAGTTTGATTATCCCTTACCTATATTGGGTAATATAACAGAAAACACAAATTGATAATCTTCAAATCACACAGTTGTTTCAAATTACACTTGTAAGCTTAACAATGATTCAGATTACATAAAATACAGATATATCTCCCAAAACCAAAACGGTAAACTATCCAAATTCAGAAATATCATAAACAACTGGAATGGTCTTTAACAAATTCATATCTCAATAGGCAACATCTGAAAGACACCTAGCTAGAGCCCTGCAAAAATAAAACTTGTACCTAGTTTTATCATAAAGGATCATAAAACTAAAATAGTTATGAGTAACCCTGCAAAAATCTAATTGGTACGTTCAAACAACAATGTTAGACTTAAAATGTACATTAAGTCAAACAATTTAATGTTACGTTCAAGCTAGATAAAAGCTTCACAAACAAAAACTTAAGAGTGCAAATGACAATGTTAGACTCAAACCAAATGGATTCATAAAAGCAAATACCCAAATGCTAGGACGGAATAACAATTAAGACTATGAAACATGACAAAAAATGCCAATAACACTTAACGTCACAGAAC